CTCTCTCTCTCTCTCTCTCTCTCTCTCTCTCTCTCTCTCTCTCTCTAAGGAAAAACTACAATAACAGTGAAAACCGACAGGAGGAGGAGAAGAAGGAGAAAATCAATTTGGGTATTGTTAACCCCTTCCAACTGAAGCTTTTTCCTGTGCCTTCTGTAGAACTGGATTAGTAGACAGAATTGCTTATATCATCTGATCCTAAAATATTTTCCTTTCTCTGTCAATTGATAGCTGTGGGTATAGCTGGGATGGCATCTATGGTCTCTTAGAGCTTGTAGAATACAGATATAGGCTTTCAGAGTCTCCACTGAAAAGTCACATGTAATTCTAATGGGCCTGTTTTGCATGTGATATTATCCTTTCTTTGTTTTGTGCATTAGTGTTTACTTATTATGTTTCATAAGGAGTGTCATTTCTTGTCTTGTATATCTTGTACTTTGATAGACATCTCTTTCTTTAAACTGGGGAAATTTTCTTCTAAGATCATATGAAAAGTATTTTCTGTGCTTTGACCTGAGTTTCTTCTCATTTCTCTGTGTCTATCATTTGGAAGTTTGGTCTTTTCATACTGCCTTATATTTTCTTATGTTCTTGTTCTGAATTCTTTTACATTTGACATTTTCTTTGACTAAACTATCCATTTTTCTACCTTATCTTCAAGACATGAACTTCTTTCTTCCATATCTTCTAATCTGTTGGTGAGGCTTACCTTTGAGGTTTTTGTTTTCCATTCCAAGTTTTTCATCTTTAACTTTATTTCAATTCTTTAATGATTCTATTCCCTTGTTAAATTCTGCTTTCATGTCTTAAATTGCTTTAATTACATTATTCAACTAGTTGTGTTTTCATGGTCTTCATCAAGGCATCCATGCATATCCTCTTTAAGGTCTTTGAACATTTTCATATTCATATTACTATTTTGAAGTCCTTATCTTCTGCTATAGCTAAATATCTCTCTCAGAGCATAACGCAATGGGTTTTCTGGCTTCTGAAGGAGGCATATTGTCATGGCTGTTCACACTTGTGGTTTTTTAGTCGGATCTAAGAATCTGGAGTTAAAGATGGTTGAGGTGTTTCTTGATATGGATATCTAATCTCATCTTTGTTTTTTCTGTTCCAGTGGGTGTTCTGTTCTTTAGTTGCTGCTGCCCAATCTGAGTCCTAGCCAATTATGACAGTTGTAAGG